CTAAAATATAACAGAAGAAAATCTGAGTGGCCTTGGATTTGGCAATGACTTTTTAGATACAAACCAAAAGTACTCTCCAAGAAATGAAAAATTGGTAAGTTAAATTTCATTTAAATGTAAAAATTCTACTCTGAAAAAACAGTGTTAAAAAAATGGAAAGACAACCCACAGACTGGGAGAAAATCTTAGCAAAACATATGCCTGATAAAGGACTGGTATTCAAAATATACAATCATAAAACTCAGTAATAAGAAAACAAACAACCCAATATTTTTAAATGGGCAAAATATCGGCAGATATCTCACCAAAAAAGACACACAGATGGCAAATAAGCATATAAAAAAAAATGTTCAACATCATGTAAGCAAAATATTGCAAATTCAGAAAAACAATGTGATATCACTATACACCTATTGCAAAACTAAAACCCACAACACTAATAATACCAAATGCTGGGAAGGATGTGAAGCATCAGGAACCCTCATTCGTTGCTGATGTGAATGCAAAATAATAGAGCCACTTTGGAAGAGGGTTTGGCAGTTTCTAACAAAACTTAACATAATCTTAACTATATGATCCACTTGCACTCCTTGGTATTTACAATTGCACTCCTTGATATTTACCTAAATGAGTTGAAAACTTATGTTCACATAAGACTCTGCGTACAAATACCTATTTATAGCTGCTTTACTCATACTTGGAAGCAACCAAGATGTCCTTCGATAGTTGAATGGATAAACAATCTGTGGTACATTCACACAATGGAAAATCAGCTATCAAGCTATGAAAAGTCATATTGCTCATTAAAATAAGCTAATCTAAAAAGGATGTATACTATATGATTCCACCTAGATGACATTTTAGAAAAAGCAAAACTATGGAGACAATAAAATGATAAATGGTTGCCAGAGGTTTAGGGGGACAGACCGGTGAATAGATGCAGCACAGGGGATTTTTATGGCAATGATTAGGGTTAGGGTTATGGCAAATCCTGTTAAGATACTGAGATGGTAGATACAAGTCATCATACATTTGTCAAAACCCATAAAATATACAACATAAAAAGTGAACCTTAATGTAAACTATAAAATTTAGTTAATAAAAATGTATCACTATTGGATCATCAATTGTAGCAAATGTACCACATTAATGCAAGATGCTAACAATAGCATTAACTGTGGGGGAGAGGGAAAGGGGAAAAAGGAGGACTCTCTGTACCTTCTGTAAGCCTAAAGCTCAATTTTTTTGTAAGCCCAAATCTAATTTTATAAAGTCTATTAATTTTTCAAAAGGTACAAAAAATACTCATGAGCATTTTAAAATATTAATCCACAAATTGATATGGTTTGCTAGAAATGATGACTAAGAGATAGAAAATACTGCCCCCTTGTGGTCATGAGACAGAAAAACTAAAAGTGTAGTGAACCAGCTGGAGCCATGGAAAAGACAATAATGAAGCCAATTAAGTCTCAAATCAGATAGTCATCCATAAATCCAAATAAGAACTCAAGTAGTCAGGTAGAAGGGTTATAAAGGACAACATTTCAGCAAATTCAGAAAGTGTATGAGCCAAGTATGTAAGTGATCAATTCCTTATAATACCATGAGATTCACAAAAAAGGAAAGCAAATTCTATAACTCCTCCAACTGTCTAAGTATTCTTTGTATAGAAATATCTCTGCAGGCCAGGAAAAGAAGTCACACTAATAGGGTCATAAAAATGCAGGCTCATTTTTCCAATGAAGTATTGGCAGACCTGACCAGTAGATATCTAATCTAAGATATAAGAAGGTACATTCAGAAACTCAGTGGGTCTAAGCAAACACAATTGAACTTTTAATTCTTAATATACTTAAAACTTTAAATCTATAAAACTGAAACAGGTAACCATATACACAATATGAAATGGGTGTATGATAGATTTTAGACCAACACAATTATTCACTTTGGATTAAAATAAAAAAGAACTAGTTTGAATTAAACTTCCTTTAACTTTATAGCTGCAAGGAGACATTACATCTGAGTAGATCCAAGATGGCAGAGTAGATAAACACTGTGCCTATGTCTTTCCATGAACACATTAAAATTAAAACTAAATTATAGAACAATCAACCTTGAGAATCATCTGAAGTCTAGCTGAACAGAAATCCTACAATTAAACACACATATATAAAGAAGCCCCAACAAGACTGGTAGAAGGGGCAGAAATGTGGAACAGGCCCCAAACCTTTGTGCGGCGGTTGAGAAACAGGAGGGATATCTTGGCCATGGAGGTTCTCCCCAAAGGATCTAGGGACTCCAACCCCCCACACCAGGCTCCCCAGCCCTGAGTACTGGTGCCGGGAAGAGGAGCCCCCACAACATCTGGCTGTGAAAAACAGTGGGGATTCTGACCATCCAGGTGGAATGGAAGGCTGTAGGGAACACCGGCGTTCTCTTAAATGGCTCAGACACAGACTCTCTCGCTCGCAGGCACTCACCTTGGGCTCTGGTAGAGGTACGGTGACTGGGGGGCGGGGGGGTGCCTTAGAGATATATGGGGAGGCACACTGAGGCACGTGGCTGCAGGTGGAGGACTGGAGGACAGTCAGCATTTTCCCTGTGAGGGATCCTCTTTCTGTGCAGCCAGCAAGCAGACGCCATCTTGCCTGTGTTGAGCCCGCCCCACACAGGCCAAATCTGAATCTAATTGGCCTGGTGAGCTCTGCTGCTCCACCTGGCTACTCAGCTGGGACTCCATGCCACTCAACTCCCCCAACGCCAGAGGCACTTTCTTCGTGAGCAGCCAGCACCGTCCGCATTGCCCACTTTCTTGAAAAACAATTTGAGACTGACAGACACCAGGTGGGCAGTAACTGGCCTCAGTGTGCTCTGAGACTTTTGCTGAGAAGCTCCAGGCTCAGCACTAGCAACAAACCAGAATTTACATTAAATTGTGACACAGCTCTTCCTATTCTAGTGATTCCCTGAGACCCTGCCTCACCCAACTTGCAAACCACACAAGGCTCTATCAGCAGCTAAACCTTAAGAGAGCCAACAGGTGGCAACAAGCCTCAGGGTGTCCTGGCTCTGTGGGACTACCCCAGGCCCAGCACTGGTGGTAGACATCTACCATGTGTCTCCAGGTTTAGCATTGACAATGAAAAATCACGGATTGCTTTGTAGCTCCTACTAGGTAGCCATGGGAAGGTCACAAGGAGTGGATAACCTGGGCCTGCACTGGAGCCTCTCCCAAAAGGCCCCAAATCAACATACAGTGAGTCCCTGACTTACATTTGAGTTGAGAACTTTCACAGATACGAACAGACCTTGCATTACGAACATTCATAGATGCGAACAAATCACGGAAGTAGCTCACATGTCTGCTGGACATTGTCACAGTTGTGCTGCTGTGTGCTTACTATACAATGCCATAATGTACAGTAGTACCGTGCTCAATCAGACCCCAGGATGTCTAGAAGCAAGAGGAAAAGCGGTGGTGATGTGGAGAGGACTGCTAGGAAGCACAAAGACTCACTTTGTCAGACTTAAAAACGAATCCGACTTACAAACATTTTCCCTGAACGGGACTCGTTCGTAAGCCGGGGACCCCCTGTACTTGGAGATTGGGTTCAGACCACAGCAGAGTACTGCCCAATTAGCCCCATAAGTGGCATACACCAAGGGCAGTCTCAACAGGCACCAGAGTCCACTGGGGCGAATCCCACTCAGTAGAGGAAGCCCCTCACACAGCAGTGCATAAGCTGTGGACATGGCCAAACCCCACATTTAATCAGCCTGAGGGTCAGTCCAACCCACTGACATTCCAATAGCAATTAAGGCTCAACCATATAACAGGAGGGCACACCCAACCCACACAAGGGACACTCCTTGAGAACCCAGAGCAGGTGACCAGGGAGACTGTTCCAAGGCTCCACAGGGCACCTACTACATAAGGCCACCTACCAAAACTGGTAGACATAGCAAATCTACCTAATACATAGAAACAAAGACAGAGAAGCAGCCAAAAAGAGGAAACAAAGAAATGCATCCCAAATGAAAGAACAGGAGAAAACTTCAGAAAAAGAACTAAACCAAATGGAGGCAAGTAGCCTACCAGACGCAGAATTCAAAACAATGGTTACAAGGATGCTCAAGGAACTTAGTGAGAACTTCAACAAAGAGATAGCAAGCATAACATAGAACACAGAAGCCATAAAAAAGACTTTGATAAGAAGGCTGTGTGAGTATGTTTGTATATGTGCATACTGGACTCCAATATATTACACTAGTTATTCTGCTTACTTTGATATGTATGCATTTTCTTTTAAAAAGTAAAACAAATTATTATACCAGGATTGTATAAATATCCACTAGATTTTAGAGCTGGTGCAGTTTATCAAATAATGAGACTTTCAGCCAGTCTTCAACTGAATTTTACAACTATTTTTTTTTAAGCAGAAGCAAATAGAAAAATTTGTAATGCATAAAATTATAAGAAAATTAATCACCCAAATCCCACCATTCGTTACTACCATTAACACTTTGATGAACATTTTCTAGTCACATGTTTCTGTGTATATTATATGTATTTTTTTCACACAGTTGAGTTTATACTGCAGCAGTGTACCCTATTATGTAACATGTTATATATAATAACTATTTTCTCCTGTCATTTTGCTAAAACATAATTTTAATGTCTAAATTGTATTTTACTTTATCAATTAGGCATAATTCATACAACCAATTCCTTGACAATGTTAAAGGGATTTTGTGTAGTAAGAAAAATATTTCTTAAGTCAGACTAAGAAAGACAAATACCATATGATCTCACTTATATGTGGAATCTAAAGAAAAATAAATGAAGAAACGAAACAGAAACAAACTCATAGATACAGAGAACAAACTGTTGGTTGCTAGGTGGGAGGATTGTTGGGGGGCGGGGTGAAAAAGGTGAAGGGATTAAGAAGTACAGAATAGTCACAGGGATGTAAAGTATAGTATATAGTCAATAATATTGTAACAACTATGTTTAGTGTCAGGTGGATAGTAGACTAATTGGGGGGATCACTTTTTATATTATGTAAAGGTCTAAACACTGTACTGTACACCTGAAACTAATATAAAATGATATTGAATATCAACTGTAATTGAAAATAAATAAAAGAAGTTACCACATGCCCACTGTCATCCCAAAATGAAGTCAAATCTTCAAAACATACCTACCCATGGAAAATACTTAAGTCCAAAAGGAAAGTTTATTTTTCTCCTACAAAGTATAAAGTAATATAGAAACATAAACTCTGAGTTTCATGAGAGATGAAGGGACTCTTGTCTGTGAGTAACCGGTGGGGATGACTGGACCCAAAGCCTCTGTGGAGTTGTGAAGGACTTGACTCTGACCTTAAGGACTGTTTTGCTCGTTCTCGTGGGCACTGTTTCTGTGCTTGATCAGCTGATGTAAGATCGCTTAATAATATATTGCCTCTCCCCACCCTCTTTCACTCTGAGGAAGGTAGTTGTGGGGTTACCGAGAAGGAAGCCCATATACTATAACAGCTATAGACAACATTTCTTCATCACTGCTCAAATCAGACTTTATGTCAGCAAGCTTCTCCTAGTTAATTACCAATCATTTACCCCCTCTATGTCCCGACAGCCTCATGCACTGTAATTATAGTCTGATTTGCTTTTCAAAGGAATGTCTCACAGGGCAAATTGAAGCTTCTTGCACTAATGCCATCTTCAGAAACATGCTTAGGAAAGCTTTCACACCATGCCAAGCAAGTGGCTACTAGGTGAGTCTGCTGAAAGTTATGACCTTACACTCTCATATCTGATCAAATCTCAGTCTCGGAACCATTCTAATAACATGCACATTTACATTTTTTAATCTTAATGAATTATTCTAAGTGCTTTTAAAAAGTCAAATAGGAGCCATGCTATAGAGTTGAAAGTACACACATGACATATTCAAAAAAAGAAATTATCTTTTCTCATATTCCTCTTTCTGTACCCTCTATTTTTGTTAATAGTCCCACCATATTCCATATTACCAAAGCTTGTAGCCATCATGACCTTTCTTCCCTCCTCCCCTGCCCATCACATCCAATCAGATGCCAATCCTCTCCATGTCTGCTTCAACCTCCTTGTCAAATCATATAGAAGAGTAAATGAGGTTATCTATTTAGAAAACACTTGGTAAATTCTCTAGCATATTGTAAGAATGCAATAAAGGCTGGATATTATTATTATTATTATTATTATTATTATTATTATTTAAGTATTACCTGTTTTCTGACCTGTAAGGGAAGAGAATTTGACTTTTCCACTTTCACTTTCAGAGACTAGAGGGATGTTTTAGGGAGTTAGAAAAGAGTACCAACCAATAACTAACTCTATGTCCTTAGAACTTAATGAATATCCCAAAGCCTATATTTTGAAATCTATAAAACATGGATGCTAATAATAATTACCCTATCTTACAGGGCTGGTGAGGATAAAATGAGACATTTGTAAAATATTTCATTTTATATTTTCAAAATATAAAGTGATATGTAAACATATACTGGTGTTTCCATCCTCTTATTTTAACTATAAAGTGAAAATAAACAAGCTGGACTACGTGATGTCCAAGATGAAAGTCTAATGATTATGAAGAGAAATTTTAGAAATACCTATGCCAAAAAATTTCTGTGTAATGTATAATTTTCATCTCACAGGAACAATGTTTGCAGAACTTCTGACAGTGAAGGAGTGACTATATACAGTCACTTCTATATTGTATAATGAAATGATCACTCTTTGTAAAGGGAAAACCTAATTACATTTTTTCTCCTTTTTCATAAAAATGGTTATAGTTAGTCTTATGTTGAGAACTGAGACAATATAAAGAGGCATAGTTAAACTTTTTCTTTTGTAGTATAAACAGTATTTTTATGTTTTAACTTTTTTTGGAAATAATGTTAGACTTATAGAAGCATCACAAAGTGAGTTTCCATATATTCTTCAATCAGTTTCCCATAATGTTAACATCTTGAATAACCATGGTACAATTATCAAAAGTAAGACAATAACATTAGTATGGTATCATTAACTAAACTACAGACTTTGTTTGGGTTTCACCAGTTTTTCTACTTCTGTCCTTTTTCTGTTCCAGGATCAAATTCAGGTCCCACATTTCATTTAGTTGCCATGTTTCCTTAACCTCTTCTAATCAGTGACGATTCTTCCAGTCTCTTCTTTAATGATCTTGACATTTTTGAAGTGTATTGGTAGGTATTTTGTAGGCTATCCCAATTTGTTTTTTTCTGATGTTTTCTTGTGATTAAATTGAGGTTGTAATTTTGAAGGAACAATATCACAGAAGTGATGTGCCCTTCGCAGTGCATCATTCAGGAGGTAAACGGTATCAATATGTCTTATGTAATGTTGAAGTAGTGTCTGCTAGATCTCACCACCATAAATTTACTATTTTTCTCTTAATAAATATTGGGGGGGTACAATTTAAGCTACACAAATATCCTGTTTCTCCTTAAAATTTTGATCACTTATTTTGACATTCATTTGTGGATCTTGCCTCCAGCAATGATTACTGTGAAATTCTAATGGTGATTTTCTATTTTCCTTATTCCTTCTATATTTATTAATTGGAATTCTTAGGAGGTGTGAAAAAAAATACAGTAATGGGCCGGCCGAGTGGCGCAATGGTTAAGAACTGGCTTGGGATGCCAGAGGGCTCCAGTTCGGATCCCACATATGAGGGCCAGTGACACTGCCCTCTACAAATAAAAAAATATATATACAGTGAATGTTTAAATTTTAAAAATTATTACAGTAAAAGACACATTGTCAATAATCTCCCTCAAAATACTCCACCTCTCTTAGAACATACTTAATCGATAGTTCTTGCCACTTTCTGAAGCAGTTCTGGAATTCCTCTTTCATGAGTGTCTTTAGTTGTGCTGTCATGGCTGCCTTGATGTCTTGAATCGATTCAAAATGTCTACCTTTTTTGGTCATTTTGACTTTGGAGAAGAGCCAGAAGTCTCACGATGCCAGATTCAGTGAATAAGGTGGATGAGGACACACCGTAATGTTTTCATTTGACAGAAATTGCCACACACCAGGACCCATTTGTGACACAGAATGTTGTCATGATGGAGGATGACTTATGGCACACTTTAAAACACACCTTCTCTCAACCATAGCTCACACCCAAATGACTGCACCAAACAAGTTGAAACTTGTCACACACTATTACTAAGGTTTGACACACCACTTCCCATATTGAAGATCCTGCCTTTTTATTGGATGGCACTTGGCAGCAGTATTCACCACATTTTTTTATCACACCTCATATGCATATGTAAAGAAAAGTTGTCCGTTTTCTTCCTCAAAAAAACTTTATTTGATTTGTCAACCAATAGCAATCACTCTTCAACTGGCTGGATGGTTTGTAATCCAAATGTCCTGACCACCTTATAGTGTTTATCATGAGAATTGAATAAAATAGAACATATACATAGTGAGTACTGAATAAATGTGAGTTCCATTCCTTCCACTTCCCATTGTCTATTGTCTAGAAGCTCCCAATGTCTGAGCCATCCAGTTAGCACTTAATCAATCATAATTAAGAAAACTTTCTATCATTAGTTAACTTTGCATATACGTAACCACACCAACTAGATTCAGGCCCTAAAACGAGCAGACTTCCTTACGGCCACACAGACTCACAACACTAGTACAGTATACTATATAGAAACAATCAGAAAATGTATTAAATAAATGGATGACTGACAATTTGATGGATGCTAAGAAGAGAGGTACAAATGCTAAGAGCCCCAAATGGGATCAGATTAAATACCCTTCCTTTGTTCACGACATTCTCCCCTATCTCTCTTTTGTGTAATATGCTTCTAGACAGACTTAAACTTCAATGTTAATATTTATCATATTTTTTAGGTATGAATATTCAAGTTCTACTCTCTTAGCATATTTCAATTATAATACAATATTGTTAACTACAGTCACCATGTTTTACATTATATCCTCAGACCTAGGTAGTTTGTACCCTTATACCAACCTCTCCCTTCTTCTCCCTCCCTGCCCCACTGCCCCTGGCAACCACAATTCTACTCTCTGTTTCTATGAGTTTAACTTTTTTTGTAGCTTTTTTTAATTGAGGTATAATTGATATATAACATTCTATTAGTTTCAAGTGTACAACATAATTCAATATTTATATATACTGTGAAATGATCACCATAAGTCTATTTGACATCCATCACCATACATAATTACAGAATTTTTTTTCTTGTGATGAGAACTTTTAAGATCTACTCTCTTGGCGGCTTTCAAATATGCAATACAGTATTATTAACTAAATAGTGGCCATGCTGTACATTACGTCTTCATGCCTTATTTATTTTATAACTGAAACTTTGTACCTTTTGACCCCTTCACATATTTTACCCATTCTCCACCATCTGCCTCTGCCAATCACCAATCTGTTTTCTGTTTCTATGAGCTTGGTGCTTTTTTGTTTTTTATTTTGTGGTATTTTTTGTTTTAGATTCCACGTGTAAGTGATACCATGCAGTATTTGTCTTTCTCTATCTGCTGTCTGGCTTATTTCACTTAGGATAACGCCTTTAAGGTCCACCCAGGTTGTTGCAAATGGAAAGATTTCCTTCATTCTCATGGCTGAATAATACTCCTCTGTGTGTGTGTGTGTGTGTGTGTGTGTGTGTGTGTGTGTGTGTGTGTAAGAGAGGGGGGGATTTGTGCGTCACATCTTTTTCCATTCATCCTTTGATGGACAATATAATGCTAAACAAAAATGACACAAACTATATTATAGTATAATTTTAATCATTGATATATTAATTCAACAGTTTGTTTAGTTCCTATATGTTTCAGGCAGTATAATAATAGATGCTTGGAATAATTCAACAAATAATACAAAAATTCCTTTTCAAGAAGAGCTTACATTCCATGTATTATGTATCTAAAAATAAAAGTAGATACAGCCAAATGCAAGTCATAGTTAGTTCTGGGTAATCTTTATTTTCTCCTTTAAACTTTCTGGTAGTGCCATTTCAAAATCAAATAAAAATAGATATTTTCTTCTAATACATTATCCACATGGTATCAAGTTAGAAAGAACTCCAAAAGTAATCATTTATTGAAAACTTAAATTAAGCCCTCTTGGCAATTTCAAGTTTATGTGTTTTCTTTTTTTGACAATTGCTTTTCTACTTCTAGAAATTTCCTCCTTTCTCCATTTGGTTCTTTGATCCTGCCGTGGATCTTGGACTCCCTCTGCTGTTCAGACAGAATTAGCAGAAGACTGAACTGCGAATAAACCTGGAAAATCATAAAGCACAGCAACCACCCTACATATTTCTCTCTCATTCATTCAATCAAAAGACATTTATTGAATGCCTGTTATGTGCTAGACACCATGCTAGGTGCTAGAAATACTTAAGAAATATGGTACAATCCCTGTCCTTAAATACATACTATACTTTTCTCCAGGAAATTACCAAGTCCCAGAAGACTACTTGGGCCTAGGACTCAACAAAAAACATCCACTCTCTGTCAAGAAAGGATGATTGATATGTATTCATGCTGGGCTATGAAAATAGCTTATGTCTCTGTGAAAAGCAGGGACACCCTTCTAACAATATCCTCTGGAAGATACTGAAATATTTAAGCTTCAAATTTCCCTAAACTATGGCAGTCAGCATACAGTAAGAGGCCTAGACACTAAATGAGAAAAGTGACTCAAAACCATGAGGAGCCTGGGGTAAAAATAAGATCAGTTGTCCCAAGAAAAATCAGATATGTTCTTTATTCTTTATTAACTTAGACATGATGTAAACATTTGCATGGTTGCAAGACTATAAATTTTGACAAAACAAAAATTCTGGCAGGCTTGCTGTTCTTACCCCGTTCATTACATGACCAGTAGTTATCTATTTGAGGTGGTTAGCAGAAATGATATTCCAGGAATGACATCCCTGAAATGAACATTCCCTACAATTGATGTTTTAGCCACAAATGCCCATGGCAGACAGTTGGGACTTGAACTCTGCTTACACATCCACTAGTGAGTCAATACAACTTGTAAACCCATTGTTTTTTTTGTTGTTGTTGTTTTTTGGGGGGGGGTTTTGTGTTTTTTTATTGTGAAATACACATTTTTTAGAATTAGTTTCAGCTGTACAACACAGTGCAAATAAACCCATTGTTTTTTATCCAAGGAGTTTGATCCTTTGAACTGTGATAGTAAAAAATAACAAACATAAAAATTACAGAGGTGTGAATTTTAGGCTAAGCTAAGACATTAAAACATTTCAATAATTTCTAGAGATTTTTTAAATAGAATCTACAATCTTGGGTTTAAAAATCTCTACCAGTTGGCTCTACCCAACAGAAGGCCTCCTCACTCTCCTTCAAAGCCACCATAATATATTAGTTTCACAGTGTAACTTAATTTAGCTTAAGCTTTCTTCATTGCTGTATAGTAACAGAACTTTTGAATGGAGATGGGACAACCTTATGGGGAATATTTTGGCAACTTTTACAGGTTTTTGTTTGGTTTTAGCTGTCATGATTAAGGCTTCTATTGATGTATAGTGAAATATCCTGCAGTGCATGGGGAAGTGCCAAACAAGGAAGATTTGGTTCACATGTTGCATGGCTTTCAAATGTCCCACCAGATTTTTATGGAGGTAAACAAAGCAATTTGCATAT